TTCTAGAAGGCACTCAATGCATATTAAATTATTGTCTCAATAGGCCCCTATGATCACTACTCTTAAAAAGACTAGGAGATGAGAGTTTTCATTTATTTTATTTTAACCCTAGCATAGAACCCACTCATAAACGTGGCCACACTTCATAGTCTTTTTTTTGTTTTTCTAAATGGAAGTTACTTTTTAGAGCATTTTTAGATTCACAGCCAAATTGAGCAGAAGGTACAGAACTATTTCATATGCCCGCTTCCCCCACACGTGCACAGCCTCCCCATTATCAACACCCCCGCCAGAGTGGTACGTTTGTTGCAACTGGTGAGTTTCGTTCCGTGCTAAGAAGAAGCGAGCTGTCAAGCCATGAAAAGACACGGAGGAAATGTAAATGCATGTTACCGAGTGAAGGAAGCCACTCTGCAAAGGCTCCATATTATGTGATTTCAAATATATGTAAAACTATGAAGACAATAAAACGATCAGTGGTGAGGCTCAGACGGCTGCCTAGCCACAGCCAGCACCGTCAGCCCCTTTGAGGCTTGAACTGGAGGAGGAGGCCGCAAAGGGATGTCCTCTGTTGAGAGGATCCCTGGCTCGAGGAGACTTTCTTTGGGGTTGATCTGAACAATATACATACCTCTGGCAGTTTTCTGTTCCCCCTTAGCGATGTTTTGGAGACTGGTAGAAAAACTTTTCCCTTGGCCTGGACAGTAGATCCAAACACCTGAGCCCTAGTTTTACAGAGATACAGAAACCAAAGCCCAGAAGAGAGAAATTACCCATATTCACACCCAGTGTACAGCCTACGCAAGAGCCCAGTTCTCCAGGTACTCAGCTCGGTATTTGACTACACGGAGACGGCCCTCCTGAAAATAAAGATCAGGAACGAGGGAATCCAGAATTTAATGAGCTGAGAGGAAGAAACTGTCATGCTAACTGACACTATATAATACAAAGAAAACCTGCTTCATCACTTCTGGGTCAATAAAGTTTGAAAGCCACCAGCGGAAAAGACAATAAGCAAAGAGGTCAGCCTACCAATTGGAACATAATTTGCTCAAACTTGGACACTTAACCCTTCATATTTCTCCCCAGTCTACCCCCTGCCATTTCCGCATATAGACTCTTAGCAAGGAAAAAGTTAAAAGCACAACTTATAAAATTTGTAGGTTTTGCCACGTCCAAAGGGCTGCGTCCGGAGTGTGGAGTTCTGGAGTTTGGAGCCGTGTGGCTGACAGGGTCTTGGTGCTCTGGCCGGGTGTCAGGCCTGAGCCTCTGAGGTGGGAGAGCCGAGTTCAGGGCATTGGTCCACCTCCCGGCCCCACGTAACATCAATTGGTGATAGCTCTCCCAGAGATCTCTGTCTCAACGCTAAGACCCAGCTCCACTCAATGGCCGGCAAACTCCAGTGCTGGACACCCCATGCCAAACAACTAGCAAGACAAGAACACAACCCCACCCATTAGCGGAGAGGCTGCCTAAAATCATACTAAGTTCACAGACACCCCAAAACACACCACCGGACGCGGCCCTGCCCACCAGAAAGACAAGATCCAGCCCCACCCACCAGAACACAGGTACCAGTCCCCTCCACCAGGAAGCCTATGCAAGCCACCCACTGGGTACAGTCACCAAAATGGTTCTGAAGAACCTAGGGGCAGGACAGGAAGAAAGACGCAGATGTAGAGAATGGACTTGAGGACACGGGGAGGGGGAAGGGGAAGCTGGGACGAAGTGAGAGAGTGGCATGGACATATATACACTACCAAATGTAAAATAGACAGCTAGTGGGAAGCAGCCACATAGCACAGGGAGATCAGCTCTGTGCTTTGTGACCACCTAGAGGGGTGGGATAGGGAGGGTGGGAGGGAGACGCAAGAGGGAAGAGATATGGGGATATATGTATATGTATAGCTGATTCACTTTGTCATACAGCAGAAACTAACACAGCACTGTAAAGCAATTATACTCCAATAAAGATGTTTAAAAAAAAAGATCAGTGTTTGCCAGGGGCTAAAGCGGGGGCCTAATAGGCAGAGCACAGAGGAGTTTTAGGGCAGTGAAAGTATTCCGTATGGTACTGTGATGGTGTACACTTTGGGTGACAATGATGTTTCATTGTAGCTTCATAGTCCTTTGATTTTAGTTTTTTAGTTATGATTTGGGAATATCCCAAGGCCTCTTAATGTACCGTCGTCACAGACTAGGGGTTGTAGGAGGAGGCTGCTGGTAACATATTTATCCCATCAACCATTAATAGTTTAGGGGCAGTTGTTTGGGGTTTGGGGTTTTTTTTTGTTTTTTGTTTGTTTTTTGTTTTGTTTTGTTTTTTACAGTTTAGGCAGATCTGGGAAGAAGGCAAATAGATGCGGTAAGCTTGAAATTTCGTGGAGACAGGATGAGAAAAAGGCCCCCGACTCTGGCTCCCAGCAGCCAGGGCTCTGTGTGAATCCCAGATTCTGGGATGAGGAGAGATCACAGATTAGCCCAGAGGTCACAGAATTAGCAGCTATTCCCACTGCCTGCTGGTTATTTTGGGCACTGGGGATCAGAAGGAAGACAAAGGGAAGGGAAGGGAGAAATTGTGCAGAAAGTTGAATGAGAGGATGAGGTGAAGGAAAGGGGATGCTGGGGGTTGAGGAGTCAGAGGTTTGCTGCTTCTCAGAGTGAAAATGCCAAATTCTAGGAGAACCTAGAAGGGCCTCCCCAGTCTTCACTGTGCAGCACCATAACCCTAAAGATGGGGTGGACTGTAGTCATGATTTATAACAAACCTACAGACCTATTCCGTTATTTATCCAGCATTTTTAAAACAACGCACATACACACATACAATACATACACACAAACACTCTCCCTCTATCTTTGCTTAAATAAATGTATTTTTCAATGACATTTTATATCGTAATCATAGATTATGAGTTTTATGGCCCAGATAGTTTTTCCTAATACACATTGAAATAAATATTTAACTGTTAAAAGTTAAATGTTCATTTGCGTACCCTCTAAGTCATCCCTTGGACCGCCAATGCCATGCACACCACATTGTGGTGCACTAGTAGAGAGAAGTTGGCAGACTTGGAGACAGTCTCAGTCCTTGATTCTAACCCCTCCCTATGTGTCCGTTGCCTCATCTGCAAAATGAGAGGGTTGACCAGATGCCCTCTCAGGTCCCTTCACACTCTGAGGTTCTGAGCTTCTGAGCTGTTCACTGAATAAACATAGTTATTGAAGGCCACATACCCAGGCCAGAGCTTTCCGCTTTCAGAGAGCTGCCCTCTCTCCTCCCACCAAAGCTTCCCCACACCTCCCTGTTTACACCCCCTTTCCTTACTACAAGGCACATCCTCCTGGGAGAGAAACCTGCGCAGATCCAACCCCAAAATGAAAATTAATTTTTTTTTAATTAGAAGAAAAACACCTCAATTTTTCCAAACCTCAGCACAGCTCTCTTAACTTCCTTAACTTTGGTAAAGTGAATAATACCCCTTGCCAGGGAGTCACATCCCAACCCACACAAAGGAAATCTCTCTATTGTTTTTTGAAAAATGTTTACAGTGGCCTTTAATATCTCAATGTTTCACAAGGGAGCCAGACAGACACGGAGTCTAACCATCCCCTGGTAAGACCACCACACTCAGCATCCTCCTCCACTCTCTGGCTGGAGACAGACAACATCTGAGTCCTTCAGGAAAGTCAGCAGGTTTTCAAACCCTCCCTAAAAGGGCAGCGTGTGGAGGGACGGGAGTTAAATACCATGTTTAATCGACCGCAGGATCTGCCCACGAGCAAGATTAGGTATATGGCATTTCTATACCTAACACGCCTTCAGCATTGCCCCTATTAAAACCACTCTACAGACAACTGGGAGAGAGGCCTCCACACCCAGAAAATATAAGCCACTAGGGCCAGGAAAGTAAAAGAGATACTTGTGTGTCTCTATACTTTGTGTATAGTGACTTTACAAAATCTCTAGATACCTTATCCGTAAAGGTCCTTTTAGTTAATCACAAGCAGCTTACATTCGTTGTTTTATGCCAGACACCATTCAGTTGCTTACATAGTTTATCTCACTAAATCTTTGTAGTAACTCTATGAGGTATGTACTATTATAAACCCCACTTTACAGTTGAGAAAATCAAGGTTTAGAGAAGTTGAGAAATTTCCCAAGGTCACACAGCTAGTAAGCAGTAAAGTCTGATTCCCAAACCCATGCTCAAAGCAATACCTTCCATGTGTGGGTCATTTTGTATTTTTTAGAACTCTTACACATTTAATAGTAACTGTCACTTAGAGAAATAGATGTTTAGATAGATAGATGATAGATAGGTGGCTAGATAGACATAGACAGAGATGTCATTTCTAATCTCCCAATTCTGTGAGGATGGGTATAAATATTATCATCCCCATTTTACACATGAGGAAATTGAGCCCCAGAAAGATTTAAGAACGCATTCCAGATCGTGGCATCTACAAGTGCCTAAGTCAGGATTTGAACCTAGATTAGCCTGACCCCATAGTCTGTGCTTTCACTGTGCTGCCTGTAGAATTTCATCTGATTTATCTAACAACTTTGTGACTTGCGTGAGGAAAAAAAAAGTGTGATGTAGTAGAGCCTATATCCTATTAAATGGGATTCTACAAACCTGGCCTGATTAATCAGCTTGTGGGAGTCCCTGAAAATTCTATCCGTACATAGTAGTACATCCTCTATCTCACTCTCCTGCTTGTGTCTTTCAATGCACTTGCAAACTAGTTGTTTCCTACCTGTTTATACCTATCTTTCCATCTACCTAACCCCTTCTTTATCTATCTGCTTATTTATTCTCCACCTCCCCCCCCCCACCAGAACATTCCCTTGCATCTGTCTTGTTTGTTACCATATTCTCAGTGCCTAGCACAGTGCCCTCAGTAAATATTTGTGGACTAAGTGAATGAACACATGCTGATAATTAAGTGAACAGTAAACACCTGTTCCTCCTCCGCCTCTGAACTATACTACTTGGCATCTGAAAACCGACATTCAGATAGCTCTTCCTTCTGGGTGCTATGGGAGAGTAGCTGCACGTGCTGGCTTGGCTGCAAAACACTTCATAGATGTCGGAGCCAGTGTCATAAATGAAGATTATAGAGGAAACGTTGGTATTGTACTGTTTAATTTTGGCAAAGAAAAGTTTGAAGTCAAGAAGTGTGATCGAATTGCACATCTCATTTGTGACCGCATATTTTACCCAGAAATAGAGGAAGTTCAAGTTTTAGATGACACTGAAAGGGGTTCAGGAGGTTTTGCTTCCACTGGAAATAATTAAAGTTTATGCCTAGAACAGAAAATGAGAAAATGCACTTTTTCCTTGAAAATAAAGACTTTGCTTAAAGTGAAATAAAATAGTATAGAGCCCTGCAGGAGTTCAGAGCGGGGGGAGGAACCCTAATGAGCTGGAGTGGACCAGGAAGGCTTCCTGGAGAAGGCGACGAGTTTTAGGGCTTTGATGGATGGTAGGTGTTAGGTAGAGGAGCAAGGAGAGCATTCCAGGCAGAAAAAAGACCAGAGCCAAGGCATAGAGTGCACGGGCTGGCATCATCCAGGACTTTGAGGCAGAGCTGCCTCAGAACAGCTAGAAGCAAAGTCTGACTGTGCTTCTGTCCTGGCCACCCCAGGAAGTCCCTTCCCCCTTAGGAGCTTGAATCACCCAGAGGAGTTTACTCACCTTTGTCTAGTCCCCTCTGGAGCTGGGGACCATCCTCGTGAGCAAGCTTCCCCGACACCTCCATCTGTGTGTAAAATGGCCGTGGCTCTGGCCCGAACCAGGGTTGGCAAGAGAAGAAGGAAGGAAGTAGAAACCCATGTCCACAAGGGGTTCAACAAGCCTGTTCTTTCTGGGGCTTCATCAACTTGAGAATATGGAGAAGTAAAAGCAGCGGGCTCTGGGCCCAGACAGTCTTCCCACTTGCTGGCTGTGTGGTCTCAGACCCTCTCTGAGCCTCATCAGTCCCCTCCAGGCATATGGGGGAGGTAATCCCTACCTCCATGACTTCAGGATCAGTACCCACTGTCCTGAGCAGCCACCTTCTCCCCTGTCCCCTGAGTTGACGGTGGAGCACGTCAGCTCCACATGTGGAACGTTAAACTTCAGTCCATCTCAACTGTTTGCCAAACAAGCTGAGTCCCACCACAGAACACTTCTCTTTCCTTCTATGTTAGGAGGCTACTACGAGTTTAGAGAAAACCACTCCCATAAGCTCCGTGGAGGCAGGAATCTTGTCTCGTTTGACACTGCGTACGATCTCTAGCACCTAGAACAGTACCTGGCACTGAGTAGCCATGTAATACATGTTTGCTGAATGAATGAGCAATCTCTCTAGTCCTCCTGTCACACCTGCCCTGGAGCTCCCAACCTCGGATCAGTCCGGCCATGAACCTTCATCTCCTAAACCAAGACCACTGATCTGATGCCGCAACTACAGATGTATGGCCTCTAGCCTTAGGAGCCCCCAGTTGTCTTGGCAAAGCTTTTGCATCTCCCTAGTCAGCTGCCTTTCCCATCCCCATTGTGGTGTTTTCAGAACCTCACTGCACTCTGCAAGTCCCACATCCTTCCCCCAAAAAGAGGACCACGCCCCTGTCACAGAGCTCACTGATGCTGGCAGAGTCACCTCATCACCTCTGCCCTCACGTGTGTACACCTTGCCGTGCCTTTGCCCTCCCCACACCCATCTTCCCTGCCTCGGTGCTGTCGTGTCTCCTGTTCCGAGTCCGTGTTCGCTCTGAGCTCTGGCTCTCATTTCCACCGTATACGCGCTGAGCCTTGGCTACCCACCCATCCTTCTCAGCCCTGGCTCAGTGTTACTTCTCCGCTGGCATCTTTCCAACACTGCAGCATGTTCAAATCTCAATCCGACTTGCGAAGCATAAATATGTCTTTGTGAAGCCTTCCTAAATCAGCTGCCACCACTCCCCGAAACTTCCTCTGGCAAAGATCGTTCATGCCTTCCACATGGACAAGTCTGATAAAGCCCTAAGCCCCTTGTCTTGCTCCTTGGCCATTGGTCATGGCTGCCCTGTCTCCTGGAATGCAGTTCTGCCCCGTCTTCTGGACCCCACCTCTCTCACCTGCCTTTCCTCCTTCCTCGCCGGCCAGACTTTCTTCACCTCCTTTGCGCTCCCCTCTTCCGCCCTTCTGTCCGGGTGCCCTGGGGTCCCATCCTTGTCCCTCCCTCTTTCTCAGCATAGGTGACTCCTCAGGCCTGCGCTGTCCTATTCGGTGGCCACCAGCCACACATGCCTGCTGAGTCCTTGACATGTGGCTCCATTGAGATGGGCTGTGGGTGTAAATATACATCCAATTTCAAAGACGTAGGGTACAAAGAAGAGAACCTATCTCATTCATAATTTTTATAAAGATTACACATGGAAATGATAAATATTTTTAGACACTGAGTTAAATAAAACATGTTCTTAATTTCATCTTTTTTTATTTTTACCTTTTTTAATGCGGTTACTAGAAAATTTAGAATTACACATGTGGCTGTAGGGACAGCAATGCCTTAGACAATCGCGTCCACTCCTGTGGTCTCCCCTGAATCAGAATGACCCCCAAACTAATTCAGCATGGTGATAAGGTGTGAGCTCCACTGTCTGGGTTTGAATCACAGTTCTGCCACTTACTGGCTGGGTGATCTTGGGCTTAGAGCAATGCTCGGCGCATGCAAGGCACTGGATAAAAGCCATTCTTGTAGAGAGGCGGCCATGCGCGGTAGTCATACCTGGGAGCTCTGAAACCCGGCTGTGGATAGACATCCTTCTCCTTTGCTCACCAGCTGGGTGACCTTGAAGCTACTCCACCCTCCCTGGGCCTCACTGCAGCAGCGTGGCCAGAGTCCCGGTGTAGAGGGCTCCCAGCAATGGCCGCCGTGTGATCAGCACTCAGCACAGGGTTCTCCTGCTTGGCCCCCTGGACCCCACATCCACCACGAGCATTCACGGCATTTCCCCGCCTTTCTCTTCCCCCTGCCTCAGGTCAGTTCTGCATCACTTCTGGTCTAAACTACAGCAATCACTGCCTATAAATGTTCGCCAGGGCTCCTGGCTGGCCCCTCCCATCCATTTTCCACAGTGTCTGCTGAACTGGGGTCCTAAAACCCAGAACTGCTACATCCCTCCTCTGCTTAAAACCCAGCAGTAGCTCCACGTTATCCGTGAATAAAGCCTTCAAGGTCCCCCAGCATCCACCAAACCCTCTGGGGTCCTCTCAGCACTGGCCTCCGCACACCCAGGGCCCGTCACACCCACTCCCTCTCCAGTCCCCAAACATGCCAGATGGTTTCACGCTCCTCTGCCTTTCCCTCCCTCTTTTATCCTCCACGATCACCCCACACCGTGTCAACCTCTTCAACACTAGGCTCAGCTCAAGTTCAAGAGTTCCCTGGACTTCTCCCCAAGCCCTCAGTGGATGTGACCCCGACTTTGTGCCTGTGCAGAATTCTGCCGCCCCATCGGAACCCTAGGTGCACTTTCAGCTACATGCCTGACTCCCCTTACAGACCGTGAGCCTCTTAGGAACAATGAGGGTGATGATGATTTATTGAGAGCGTGTTATGTGCCAGCACTGCCTGAGGACTGGACACAGGTTAACTTACCCCCCTTATCTAGAGCGCCTGAGTTGGGTACTGATTACCACTTTACAGTTGAGGGAGCTGGGAGATAGAGGTCAAGTAACCCCCTTTTGGCATTTGGTGAGCCAGAGTTCAAAGCCAGGCTGTCTGGCTTCAGAGACCACACTCTTAACCTCAATTTACATTTTAAAATTAACACATAATTGACACACAACGTTGTGTAAGTTTAAGGTGTGCAACATGTTGATTTGATACATTTATGTATTGTAATATGATTACCACCTTAGCGTAGCTAAAACCTCCATCCCATCACATAATTATCATTTCTTTTTTGTGGCAAGGACGTTTACAGTCTACTCTCTTAGCAACTTCGAAATATATAATGCGGTATTGTTGACTATAATCACTTCACTTCACTGTGCCTCAGATGCCCAGAGCTTACTCATCTTCTAGTTGCATACTTACACCCTTTAACAATATCTCCCCGATCCCCCACACCCAGCCCCTGTAACCACCATTCTACAATCTGTTTCTATCGAATGGCTTTTTTTAGATCCCACATATAAATGAGATCACACAGTATTTGTCTTTCTCTGCCTGATTTGTCTCTCTCAGCATAATGCCCTCAGTGTCCATCCATGTTGTCACAAATGGCAGGATGTCCTTCTTTCTCGTGGCTCAATTACACACACACACACACACACACACACACACACACACACACACCGTAAATTTTTTTAATCCATTCATACACTGACAGACACAGGCTGTTTCCATATCTTAGCTATTGTGGACAATGCTGCCCTTGATTTACTTTTATAACCTAAGCTAGCATGGTTAATTTTGAAGCCAGGAGTTCAGAGAGGGAAGGTTACTTGCCCAAGGTCACCCAGTGAGGTCCCTTCCCAGCCTCCTGGCTCTCAGTGTTCTTTTTCTTGGTTTTGGTTGGTCGTGTGCCCCTGCCATGAAAGCCCAGGCTGATGGCCCCGATGGGAAGGAGGGACCCTGGGCGGCTCGCAGACAGACATGGCCCAAAGCAGTGAAATGTCCACAGAGAGGTGGAAATAATAAGCCTGGCTGAGGGAGCATCTGCTTTGTTTGCTTGGCTTAGTGTGTTTTCATTACAACGATCTGGAATCTGATCCGGCTAGGAGGCTCTGAGGCTCCCTTTATTCTCCTGTTGGGCAGAAAAGAGAGTGGGGTGGAGCAGCTTATCCAAGAAGTGCTGACAGGGAGGCAGAGCGGTCAAGTCCAGGGTCGAGACACTCCCTGTGGAAGCCCAGACAAAGCGGGTGCTAGGCAGGGACACGGGGGGAGACAGGCTTTCAGTCAGGGCCTGTCACATAGAGGGCGATCATTTCACGGTGAGTCAAAACCCTGCAAGTCAACCAAGCTGGTGCCTTGCCTGAAGGTCGAGTTCTCAGACCCCAGAGAGGAGATTTACTAAGCATGGCTTTCAGGCGAGTAAAAAGCAGACCTTAATGAGCTCTGCAAGGAGCCTGCTGCCCTCTGTTCAGCCCACAAAGCCAGGAGGTCATGCAAGGAAGGTGGGAAAGGGCAAGAGAGAGGTTCCAGTTGGGTCAAGGGAAGATTCCGGCAACTTTTATAAAACCACTAGCAATGGTGCTATTTGCTATTCATTGTGGAAGGTCTCTTATGAGGAACCACTGAATGAATGCCTTTTGAAATTAAGTGTTAGGGGGCTGTCTCTTCAACACAACTGGGGTGCTCCTCTTTGTC